CGTGTAGCGACACAAACAATATCACAATAACTATATATATAAAAAAATCAATCAATCATCTTGAATCTACATAATGTATTATTTTATTATTTCTATGATTTATCAAAGAAAAAAATTGTTTCATTTCTACATAGCACTTCAAATCACTTTAAGAAAGGGCTTGGCCTAGCGGTGGAAGGGGCTTGTCTCCTTCCACTGCACCTGGGTTCGAGCCCTAGCGTGCACGCCTGTCACCCCCGCGGTGCCTTACATGCCTACTGGGTTTGCAGGATATTCAGTGGGCCGTGGGGATTAGTCGTGGTGCGCGCAAGCTGGCCCGGACACCCCACGTAAATCAAAAAAAAAAAAAAAAGAAACCGCTTTCACAACAATTGCTCCATCACCATTATCTATTCACTATAATTGATCACTAACTTATAACCGGTTTGTATGTTAATCAAGAATATTTTTTTTTTCATGAATAATTCCAAAAGTATATTTTCCACATTGATATACTGCAAACGAGGAAATTTAATAGCCTTGAAATTTAAATTGAAAAAAAGGAACATACCTCCTCAATTAGGAAAAAAAAACTCACCTTAATGTTTATGACCAAGATAACTACATCATTATTATGTAACTTTTTTGCACTTATAATATTTTTTTAAAAAATATTTTTCTGATTAATTTTTTTAAAATATAAAGATTTATCAATTTACAGTTTTTAAAATTTTAGTCAAATTAAAATTTTCCTTGCTGTTAATTGCTATAATTCTTAGGGAAGATTCCTAAACACCTCCTTATGCTAATGATAATCAAACATTTTATTTTTTAAAACAATAGTTATAAATATAGATAATTATAATCTTTATTTTTGCAATCATAATTTCATTTAAATAAAATCAATAACTAGATGGTAGCATAAGAAAAAGACAGGTAATCTTTTTGAAATAATTTATAAGTGAAAAATTGAACATTCAAACAAATCACCATAAATACTTATTTAAAAAATATATATATAAAAAAGGAAAAGAAAAAATCAATAAAGTGATAATTTTGCAATATGATAAAATAAAAAAAATTATTTATAGGATGTGTAATTATAATCAACCAATTAGAAAGTATACATATAAGAATACAATTAAACAAGTATAGAAATAAACTACAAATTTTAATTCTTTGAAATTCTTAATTTTATTCTTTCATTTGGTATTTAATCTTTTCTGTAATTGGTGATTGTATTGAATGAATTTCAATTCAAAATATAGATTTGTTTTCTTAATAAGTTTTTGATAATTTGAGTTTCCTAATTTTTATTTTTACATCTCTAGAAGACCACTCCATTTACCATCACTTAATTAAATACAACTAGTCTTGATGCCAAAATCATGCTAGCGGCATGAATTGACATCTCCTAGGTGAAGTAGCATCCAATCCAAGAGTAGCATCTTATCATCTGTACCTCCTCTCCCCTCTTTCCAAGCAAAGACACCGAGAGAGAGAGAGAGAGAGAGAGAGAGATGGAAGCAGTGGCATCCAAACCAGTGATCAAAGTCGTAGCCCTTTGCGGGTCTCTACGTAAAGGCTCCTTCAACCGTGGCCTCCTTCGTTCTGGTAATTAAAACAGCCCCAGCTTTTTCTCATTGCGTGTCTGTCAATCTACATGCATGTACTAATTTGGAGTCTTGGTTTGATTTTTGAGGCGGGGTTTTGATATTTTTGCAGCAATTCAGATAAGTATGGATTCGGTGAATGGCATGGAGATTGAGTACATAGATATTTCACCACTGCCAATGCTAAACACTGATCTTGAAGTTGATGGTAATTTCCCACCTGTTGTTGAAGCTTTCCGGCAGAAGATTCTTCAAGCTGATAGTGTCCTCTTTGCCTCGCCTGAGTACAATTATTCCGTCACCGGTACGGTACCCTTCTCTCTCTGTTTTTTGTACTAGTACATGTACATGAATACATACATAAACACACACAGTGCGCTACATGTATGAGATGGTATCGACAATTTTTGGGATTAGCATTTACCTGCATATGAGCTCATAGGAATCTGTTGAACTTGGATTTTTACTCACCGGGACTGGCCATAAAGTGCTTTATTTCAGACTAGGAAAGTTGAGTTGAATGATTTCATCTTACTCAACGATTAGGATTTTGATCTACTGTTACTTTTTCCTCCCATTTGCTAGCACCTTTGAAGAATGCAATTGACTGGGCATCTAGACCACCAAACTGCTGGGCTGACAAAGCTGCTGCCATTGTAAGCACTGGAGGAAGTTTTGGTGGTGGGCTAGCACAGTACCATCTTCGCCAAATTGGAATTTATCTTGACCTTCATTTCATCAACAAACCCGAGTTTCACTTGAATGCATTTGCACCTCCAGCAAAATTTGACAGCAATGGAAACTTGATTGATCCACAGTCTAAGGACAGACTGAAGGAAGTTCTTTTAAGCTTGCTTGCATTCACTTTGCGACTCAAAGGTAACAGCTAAAGTAATCTGCCATTAGAGTTTTGTCATGTTGGTTTTTCACCTGTCCGGTCTTTTATTCTGTGTGTAATGTCGCATTTGGGACTCAGACTCTCCAACCATGTGCTAATATAACATTCAAGGTATTTTCAGTTTCTCAGTTTTCTGCACTGTCTTAGGTATTCATTTCTTTGGTCTTAGAGTAGTATATCCCTTCACTATTAAGTTCTCGTGGCTCGTCTAATTCAAATGTAGAAGCTTTCTTGGGTATATAAATAACGAATAATAAGCATAATGTGCACTACGGACAAGAAGAATAATGCCTCCTTGTGATGCCGATCCTGACGAAAATATTACTGGAGAGATTCTTGCGCCAAATCTGAAAAAAAAAAAAAGTTCCAAAAAGGTATCATAGGAAGAGGTTGTGGAATTTTTCTTTTTTTGTGCTTTTTGTGAGAGATGTCATTGGCTATCCACGGATCATTATTTTTAGCATGGCTGTTAAACCTACTCAAATTGGTTAATTGAGTTGGAAAATTTAAGATTCCAAGCATAAATTTGGAAAATTTAAACGAATCCAAATTTAATAGAATCAATAAGAAAACAAAAGAAAAAAAATTGGTATCTTTCAAATAAAAATTGTTGACCTTGTGATATATATATATAAAAACCTTTTTCTTTTATTTTTTTGGATGTTATTTAATTGGGGATGATAATTATGTTTTTTTTTTTTTTTGTGGCCGGTTGTGTTTGATGCCGGCAACGATAGGGCATCGATCCTTTGTATGAAGGATGAAGGTAGGAATTCTCTTGGTGGAGATTTAATTCACTTGACCACCTAGGACCACAGAAATGACTATATTCTTGGGAACATCTTGGCCCACCTTATTTAATGGAAACCTTGATGCAAGCTTGCAACTGTAAGAGCACCATTCTGAATATAATTAAGAAGAGCGACATGATGCGAGCTGAAACCAAGAAGAGGCGGTAAGTCCTCTTCAGAGATGCTTTCTTCCCCACCGAAAGGCATTCATAATGGTATCTTCCTTGTCATACATATGATCGATACTCGGTGCTATCCACCATTCTGAATATAACCCGACTAATTCGTGTTGTGTAGTTATATGAACGGCAAGTCAAGTTTCTTACACGTATAATGAGGTTATATAGAAAATGGGGACATTGATACATTTGGTCCCTCACTATTAGTTATTGTGCACACTGTTCCCTTGCTATTTTATTACTGTTATCTTCTTATTTTCATTCATATTTTTTATTTTATTCTCATAACTGAACTTGAATGACGAGTTTAGTAGAATTAACTAGTTTGATAAGATTTTTTTAATTAATTTTTTTTTTAATTTTATTATTTAATATTTTATTGATTATAAATTAATTAGACTTCATGATTTGTTTTTGTTCATTTCTTATAAAGTTATTCTAATTTCATGAACCATGTCACAAGTTTAGTAAGTTAATCCAGGTTAACTCGAGTTATTTTTTAGTTTATTTTTTATAAAGTTATTTTGATCTTTTGACTCAAGTTACTGGTTTGTTAGATTAATCTGAATTATTTTTAATTTTATTTTTTAATATTAAATTAATTAAAAATTAAAAATTATTTTTTATTAAAAATACAGAGTAAACCAACATCCTAAATAATGCTCTCTAGATGTGCTTGATTTTTCTTTTGGGATTCTCAGTTGATTGATTTTCTTGGAATTTACGTGACGTGACAAAGGCAAAAACTATATTGACATTTTAATCTTAGTAGATTTAAGAAGGGAACGTTTATTTTATTTCTCTACAAGTGTTCGTGCCACAATAAATCAAAATTAATAGGATGCAATATTCCTTTTGCCATCCTTAAGCCCCATTTCTTCGTGCTGTTTTCCCCCAAAGAAGATTATTCCTTTCTCTAAGCAAAAGAAAGGGAGTAGAACTCCTAGCTGGTTGTGCCCTTAGTCTCCGAGTAATGAGTGCTATCACCTTAATATATGGAAGTTGAGTCGTGTATTTCTATTACCTTATTGATTTCGGGTTATTGTAAACTGCATCTGTACACATAAAATTAGAATAACAGAAGAAAAATGAGCGTAAATTTTAAATAAATTAACATAAAAAAATCATATAATTAGAATTTGAAATTAACCTAATTTATGGGAGTGCGAAATATGTGTTTCCTATAAAATGTTCCGTCTTAATTTAAAGCATATAATTAAACTTTTTTCAAAAGGTTAGGACTAAAATATAAAATTTCCGTAATTTGGGAGTGCGATAGTCATAAAATTGAATTTATTGACGCTTTACCTTGTGATAAAATTGATATTTTAACGCTATAGGCTTCAAGCTAATCTTTTTCTAATTTTTAAGTAGAGCTTTTACTAGAGTTGAATAGTGATTGTGCCAAGTTTATTACCTTAATATAGCTAAATGCAGCGGCTAAATTAGGTCAAGTTTTGAAATTCTGACCTTTTATTTTGCAGGCTAAATTTAGTTTTTTTTTTTTTTTGAGGGAATCATATAGGTAATTGAACTATATATTGACCGAAGAGGCAATCCATAACCATACCAAGAAGTGGCAAAGTGTACTTAAAAAACCATGCACGTTTACATTCTTCGTTCTCGTTACTGGCAAGTTAACAAAGAAAGAAACAGATTTTGAGCAGGAAAAAATGGCGACAGTGGCAGAAGATTCTGTGATCAAAGTTGCAGCTCTCAGTGGATCCCTTCGCAAGGCTTCCTATAATGAAGGCCTCATCATTCGAGCTGGAATGTTTTTCTTCTGTACACATGCACGTTAGGATTATCATTCGGCGTCGTGGAAGCCATGCATTTGTACTTTCTGCTGTCATGCATGATAGCATTCCATACAGTACCCAGCCATGCTTTAGAATTGCGACTCGGTATTTTCTTAAACGTCATGGTGACAAATGGTAGTAACATACGAAATTCTGGTTTGAAAAATGTAGGAAATGAAGTTCGGAAATTTGTCTGGTATTGTTCAAGAACATTATAAAAACCAGTTTTGAGAAAACAATTATATGATTCCAAGAATAAATATTAATAGTTACTTCATCATCTATAAGAAGATTTTCATAACTATGGAAATAGCCAAAAGAATTTAAGAAAAAAATGTGAATAAAACAATGAAAGATGGATATAAAATGGATGCCAAATGCTCTTGTGCTGTTATTTTGTATGGGCCAAGCCCCATTGCACTGTACTGGGCTTGCCTTAATTGCTTCCTTTTTCGGCTATGTTGTTCGTCCCCATTTCTTTAGTCTAAGCATTCTTAATGGTACTGGAGCTCCATGCAGGGCTCAATCCATTAAATAAGAATTCCTATTGTAAAATCTCATGACTCATAATCGAGTGATTTTTTTCTAATTTCATGAAAAAATGACCAGAAATAAACACCTTAAAATCTCGTTAACGTCTAATCTCTTAAAACATACTAAAACATATTTTAGTTTTAATGGATGATAAAAGATGATTGATTATATATGGCAGCAACCGAGCAGATTGCATAACTGGCATGGAAAATCTTCCAATAGATGTTGAAACTTACCTGCAAAAACTTCTTAAAGGCGCCCGGAGTTTTCCCCCATCAGCTGAAGCTTTTCGGCAGGAAATTCTTGAAGCTGATAGCACCCTTGTTGCCTCTCCCGAGCATGGTTGTATATTTAGTCTTTGTTACTGTTTCTTTCCATGCAATACTAAGCATGTTGGGAAAACTAGGAACAATCGGACACCAATTTACCCGGATAAATTCAGCGGAATACAATTACAATTCACAAGTCCTAATTCTTTCCCTCTTTGTGCAGTAAAATAGAATCAAACAATGATGAAAAATAATGCAAATAATCACAAAATCAACACCAAGATTTTTAACGTGGAAAACCCGATGCGGGAAAAACCACGGGACCGTAGTCCCCCTAAAAACCTTCCACTATCAACAAATAATGGGTTCACAATCATTCTTCCTCAGATTCAACTAAGGGATACAACATATATATCATCAAGAACAACTTATTCTTGGATTACAACAAGATTAAAGGAGAATTATTTGAGAAAAACTCACAAAACTGACAGCCCCGTTTTCTGTCAAAACGGCCAGCTTCCACACCACTAATCTTCGATCCAACCGTTCAGAATGAAGATCAACGTGTCTAGAAGCTGCTGTCAAAATCTTAGCCCGATCCAACGGTGAACGAGCTGGAAATCAAAGAAAGAATGAAGGCTGCTCTGCTGCCTTTTCTTCTCTTTTTCTCTCTTGATTTTCTTCTCCTCTCTTCTGTTTTCAAATCTTGTGCTACAGTACCCAAACCACTTAATTTTAAAGTGGTCAGCTGCCTCTCTTCTCAATAAATGTGATGGTCCCACTATCACATGGTGTGGGACCATACACAACAAATCTCCCCCTCACACACCATGTGAGGAATTCGCCATATCGGCGATCAATATGTAAAATTCAATTTAGGAGGCTCTAACAAGCCTGCTTCCTTTCTGCAAAACTCAAACTTCTCTCTCAGTAGAGGTTTGGTCATCATGTCAGACACGTTGTCATCAGTATGGATCTTCTCAACAACAAATGACTTCATCTCCATAGCATCTCGAATCCATTGATATCTAACCTCAATGTGCTTTGATCGAGAGTGAAAAGTAAGATGCTTACTGAGATGGATTGCACTTTGACTGTCACAATGCAACACAAAGTTCTCTTGAACTAAGCCAAGTTCATGCAAGAACTTCTTCATCCATAACAACTCTTTGCCCCCTTCAGTAAGAGCAATATATTCGGCCTCTGTAGTGGATAATGCAACACATTTTTGCAACCTTGATTGCCATGAGACTGCTCCCCCTGCAAACTTCATCAAGTATCCTGATGTGGACTTTCTAGAATCAACATCACCAGCCATATCTGCATCTGTGTATCCATTCAACACAGGTTTATCATTACCAAAACATAAACTGAAACTAGAAGTACCTTTGAGATACCTGAGTATCCATTTCACTGCTGACCAGTGTTCTTTACCAGGATTGGAGAGGAACCGACTAACCACACCAACTACATGAGCTATATCCGGCCTTGTGCAAACCATGGCATACATCAAGCTACCAACTGCGGATGCATAAGGAACCTTTTTCATCTCATCT